ACTCCGAATCTTTCGACCTATCCATATCATAACGACTCGTCCTCCCCACATATCACTTCCTGCAGTTTCTACCTTTCATTTCCACACATTACTTTCGCATAGCATGTCACCTTGGTACAGTAATGGCCTCTCCTCAAACTTTTATTGACCGAAACTGAAGAAAATTTCCATACAATTAATCAACGAGGTCAAGAAATCAATCACGCGAAAAAAAACAACTATGCAGTTACTGACCATGTGAAAGACGTCTGCGGCTTTTGTTCGGTACTCAAGATCTCGAGAAAAATACCCAAGCAAAGGGAAGTCGTAGGTTTCCGCGGCCGGAGTCATGTGAATGATCTTGGCAGTCCGGGTGACGCCTAGTCGAAGGCTGTGTTGCGGACGTTTCGACAATCTTATCGTGGTCTTCGTCACGAGACTAGGAAATTAATTAGAAAACTGGGAAACCAGACAGTTGATAGACCAGCCCTGAAGAAGACCACGATAAGATGGTCGAAACGTCGGCAACACAGACTTCGACGCGGCTTCACCCGGACAGTCAAGATCATCCCCAAAACAGTGTCGATTTTGAGTGAACAATGCACATATTTGAAGTACTATCCTGCCTCTGCTCATAGGCCGCATTGACTTTATTCTCAGACTCTGCTGTTTAAGACGTAGTTAACGTCATGCGTCAGCAAAGCTCCAAGGAAGGAACCTCCCGCCATTGAATATTTGCGTTCACGTGTTGTCATGGAACAGCATCTTTTTGACATTCTTAGTACGTAAAGAACTGTGGTGCTGTATATGCAATAAACTACGTGATTACAATATTCATGAAGTGTGTTTGTTAACATATTTAATTTATTGATATGTAAAATAATATTCTCAGAAATATGAGAGGAAAGAGTTATTAATAACAGTTTGAAAAAAAAAGAATATAATTGAAAACCAAACGCACATGGCATTAATTTCAGTAGCCTTTAAAACATATGGTAGTATACTTTAAGTAAGTAAAGAATATATTGAGAAATATAACAGAGACGGAAGAAGGGAAAGATGTGATGGCAGGTAATCAAGTCGGGTTTGGGGAAAGAATGTAAGTAAAAATAATATTTGTATACAACATAAACAATGTTTTAAGAAAGAGAATCAGAAAAAGAGCTTCATTTCGACTTAAGTTTTTGGTATTGGAGCTGTCATTTGGAGGACCCTCTCCTTCTCACTCGTTACTTTGAAGTGCATTGTCACAAATGTCATTACATTTATTGTAGATTAATGTATTAACGAAAATGAAAATTAATGTACCAGTACTTTAAAAAGAGCTTAATATATTTGTTCATTCAATTTAATTCTTAAATTAAAATCACTCTAGATTTAATTTAGATATTCCCCTGTTTCCCCTACCTCTCATTATTCATAATCACCAGCCCATCGGGATCGTCCATTCGTTCCTTCCAGATATGACGAAGTTTTGACTCTTGCATTTCAATATACGTCTGTACATTAAATTTAATGTCTGTTCATGAAAGTTACTTTAATCTAATTTACTTTAATCTAATTGCATTTAAGTAATGCAGACATTTTTTGGCAGAATGGCACTATGTTTAAATCGCAGTACAACACTGTCCAGGCCTGATGCGGCCACTTTGGCGGATTGATTGATTACTGATTCCGCGACATTTGGGCCCTTAAATGTAGTGAATGTTTTATTTTCGGGAGGTAGGGGTGGTCTTCCCCCACTAGATGGCGAGATCCATCTTCCGACCTACCTATTGGCTGGCACGGTTTCCCCCAACCTGCGGAACAGCACCCCAGTCGCGACAAGCTCGCATCTCGCGATCGGTCTCCAGACATGAGTGTTAGTGTCGTGCTTATGAGTGTGTGTGCAAGTAAGAGGTGTGTAAAGGACAAGGAAGAGGAAGGAAAGCTCGCGCGCGTTTCTTGGCCTGTTTTTTAGGGAACTGCTCCGGCATTCGCCTGGTATTGATTGGAGAAAACGCGGAAAACTACCAATCAGAACAGTCGGTCGCTAGAGTTCTACTCCAGACAGAAACTGAATTCGACCAAGCTATGTAGTATCGAAAATCCTTCCATCGTCTGGGCTCGAAACCTAGGGCCCCCGGTCAGAGGCTCTGCAGTCACTTGAGTGGCTGCCCTGAGCCACCTCTCCCGGTACCAATCCATCGAGATCATGCATTTCATGCATTCGCTCCTTCCAGATATGACCTTAAAGTTTTGATTCCAGATATGACCATAAAGTTTTGCATTCCAATATACATGTGTATTTTAAATTTAATGGACGTTCATGACAATTACTTTAATGTACATTTAATTAAAGTAATGCAGAAATTTCTGACAGTGTGACACTTCAGTTTAAATACACTTATGTTTTAACACAACGACACTTATGTTTTAACACTACGTTTAAATCGCAGTACAGGCCTGTTCACGCGTGGTGCGGCCACTTTGGCGGAGGCGCCGCGGGGTCAGCCTTTGCCAATTAGCACCAAGCGCACGCGCGCACACCCGAGTATAATATGTGTAATGTATACGATTACGTGACGTATGTGACGTGAATAATGCTCTTACACACGCAATATATGAACCTTGGTAACGTGAGAGTGTACGCTGTGGAAGAACGCCGGTGACGTAAAACTATAGTTGGCGAATTTAAAAAACGTTGTGTAAGTGCAAAGTGTTTCTACGACGTTACACGGGTGGAATACCGCGTTCTTGATCTTGACTGCTCACATTTCAACTGTTTTAATGGGGACGTGTTAATTGAGCAAGTTATGTTTGCCGTCTTTAATTACCTTTCTCTAAATTAAACTACAATTTTCAACGTTGGTAAGCTGTCAACTTTCAAATTATAATTTTATCGCCCGTTCTGGAAAGGATTTTTTATTTTTTTTCTGTAGTTTAGCAGCGATGCGGACGAAAACACACGCGGAGGTCAGCGACACCAACACGTCAAGCAACTGCTTCGGAAAGGACATTTTCAAGTAGGGAGTATCTATGAGTTTTAATTTTGCATTATTCGTTTTATTATTCAATGTTGTTAACAGAAAACTATAATGCAGAATAAATTAAGTAATCAAAAATGTCAGTATATGAAGGTAGTTTGTAAAACATATTTATCATTATTCTGAATAACAACAATAACTAACTAAATACTTTACTATTAAATTAAGTAAACATTCCTTAAATACGAATTATTAAAGAAAGGGATGCGAAAAATGTAACTATAAGGGCAAAGATGAAATATATAATTTTTTAATCAACAAGAAAATACGTCGTAAATCAATGAAGATTTCTACTTTACCGTAGCAAGAGATGCAGTAAACTCGAGCGGGTAAAATTGGATTCCTGTGAGCGCCATGGGCAATAACGTCCTCCTACTCTTTCATCGTTAGAGTTGTTTAGCCCCTTCCTCCCGAAGCCAATAATACATATTTAAAAATATACATTTTATTAATTTCCAGTATGTTTTTAAAAATGGCAGACCGACGAATGGACAGGCATACGAACAGACGTTTTGACGTAAATGTTTTTTTCAGTTTCAAGGGCCCACCAAACGTGTATTCTGTCGGCACAGTTAGTTAAAATTTTGCTACATGTAGGAACACGATTTTTCAAATTTTTCGGTATCCCATACAAAAGATATTATGCTACAGAAGTTTTGTCGTGTTTTGCTGCATCATGACATAAGTTTCTCTAAACTATGTAAGTTGTAAGTGAGAAAGTAATGAGATGTTCGGAAACCAGATTGCATGGGGTCATGTTCAAAATGGGATCACTGATAAAAGCGAGGGCGTGTGTGACTGTGCACGAGACACGATGCCAACCCTTTCCCTCCCGTTGCAGAACTCTTGAAGAAAATGACTCTTGGCTCATTCGTACCCTTGACGCGGGTGAGGATTTTGGAGCTCAGATAGTAATGTCACGAGACTGGTCGCCTACAGAGCACTCGGGGGTCGAACAGGAATTTTCCTGAATGACAACTGACGTCAACAGTCGTCGACGTGAACGCGCTGTGCGGATTTGATACTCCACAGAACTTTCGTGCATGGCGAATGGAGAGTTCTTAAACTTCTGAACTTCTGCACAAGAAATCCTTTTACATAAAATTGTGAATAAATGTACAATTATGTGTATACTAGTAGCCTTCAGTTGCAAAAAGGCTGCTGAAGTAAATCAAATAAAATCGTTTTTTTTTTAAAGAAGCACACACACTGCTCAAGTTCAACAAACAAAATACTCTCGCTTAAAATTGAAAGAAATTCAATGTTTTCAAACAAACCCTCTTCACGAATACTGCAATAGTATAGAATGGTGTGTATAGAGTATAACAATTTTGACATATCAAAAATATCAAAAAAGTTGCTGTTCCATAACGCAACACAAGAATTGCAAATATTTAGTTGCAGTTCTCTTTTCCGTGAAGCCTTGCTGACACACCACGGCAGCTGTGCAGTAAGCAGTGACGGTCAGAGACTGAAAACTCAATGGGAACACGTACAATAAGATTTGGTGGAATAATTCAATCAAATATTTACATTCTTCAGTAACAATCGAAACTATTTTGTTAACTTTTGTATTCTTTTCGAGTTTTTGGGTTTAGGAAAAATCTAAACACCTCCAACGAGGCCGAAGGCTGAGTTTCCTTTCAATTTTGCGCGCTTTGTAAATTAGTAACACAAGCAATTAGATCCTGTTTACTTATTCTCTATCACGACAATACAGAGGTGTTAATTAATAAAGGATGACATTCACAATATGTGTCATTTATTGAGGCTCTGAATTCGTATCTACAAAACAATGTCTCGACAACTGTCAATTTCTTGGCAACTGTCAATGCCACCTGCAGTACATACATTTTAAGATTATATGTTATAAATGCCAGTACTTACATGGAGTACATGCATTCTAATTTGATTGATAACAAGGGGTGAGAATCTACACTAGACGCGCCATCCCATACGAGTAGAACGGGCATGCACCCCGTACGTATCACCTACCTGTTCGGTACACGCCCCTCTGCACTGCGTAGCCACGTCCTCGCCTCTATTGTCCAGCACATCACCCGCAATCGGCTGCTTGCGCCGGTCTTCGCCCGGCCTTAGCCCCGGAGCGTCTGCGTCTCCAGCCAATTCTACGATTTATTTAACCGTGAACTTGACGTAAATCAGTTGTTCTCCGTTTCAGCCAATCGGGAGCTTGAACGTCCGCGTAGTATTGTCACTGTGGTGACATATAATCTCCCGATTGGATGAAGCCGTAACAGCTTTTTTACGTCAAATGCACAACTACGTTGCGATTTTCGCAACGCTGCTCCTGGCAGGTATCAGCTGTTGACTGTTTCATCCAATCGGGAGCTTATTTGTCGCTACAGTGACGTCACTATGGTGACATTCAAGCTCCCGATTGTATAAAACCGCCAACAGCTGATACTTGCCTGGGGCAGAAATCCTTATGCCAGGGGCATAAATCGGAGTATAAATAAATCGTACTATACGAACACGCACCGCGGTGCGGCTACGTCACTATTGTGGCGTTCACCTGTTACGTCACTATGGTGACGTTCAAGCTCCCCATTGGCTAAAACCGCCAATAGCCGATACCTGCCAGGGACAGAGTAGCATAAATCGCAGTATAAATACATCGTACCATACCGACCCGCACGGCGGCGGCTGATTGGCTGATTGGGTGGCGCGCGCGTGCCCTTGATTGGCCCCGCAGCCGCTTTCCGAGAATCGCCCGCCGCTCACCGCGGACGTCGATTCGCACGCGCGCGCGCCGCGTGAATGTGAATCGCCCCGGCGGCGCCGCGGGCAGGAATCGCACGCCGCGATTCGTATGCGGCGGGCGCGGAGTGGTGGAATGTGAACCGCGAGGCTGAACGAGCTTAAAACTAGGCTGCTGGGAGTTGAATTCTAGCCGCTGCCTGCTTTGATCAGTTTTTTTTGTGGTTTTCACGATTAACACCATGCGAATGCTGGAACAGTTCCCTAACAAACGGACCACGGACCGGGCGCGATTTTTCTTACCTCTTCCTTGTGTTATACACACCCCTTACACATACTGACACTAACATGCATTACATTATCACACCTGTCGAAAGACCGGTCGGGAACTTAGAACATGTTCCAGTTGGGACGGTGCCCCGGCTAGTGGGAGATACGGGGTTGAGAAAAACTTCGCTAGCCGACTAGTAGGTCGTCACACGATCTCACCAACCAGGAAGAGTAGATCACCGCCACCTCACGAGAAAATAGCACGCACTACGCATACGGGAGTAATCACGTTAGCAGTTGACAGGCCCAGAAACACGAAGGGGTAATCAATCAAAACTAGGAGAGCGTAGGCTTCCTTGGCCGGAGTCAGTTGCAATTTGGCTGTCCGAGAGACGTGGCGTCCTAGGCACAGGTGGCATTTCGTCCTGATGAAGGTCGCAGAATGGCAGCCGAAACGTTTGCACCTGTGCCTAGGACGCGGCGCTTCCTGGACAGCCAAGTAGCTACTAATCACAACTAGGCTTGGGACGTTCGAATGTTAAAGTCTCACGAATCTTCAAAAATATAGATTAAAATAAGTTTGAAACTACCATTAGTTCAGGATTTTATCTTTTCGATCTTTTGAATTCTCTTTTTATTTGGCACCGAATTCTAAACACAATTGCGCAATTTTATAGAATTTCAATTTAATTTTTATCTCTAATCTTTCGTTTCCTTTGCATTTTTTGTTCACATAAAGTTTGGTATTGGTTTCTGGGACAGAACTTCTTGAACTTCCTGAAATTTCGAAAATAGCAATAATTAAAAATACTGCGAGAAAGTATATGCTGTTGTAGCACCAGTAGTTTTACACTTGTGATCGAGTCTAGTGTTCCGACGGTCTCCTCTGGACCTGGACGCTGGTTGTGTTCATTTAGAGCACGTACGTTTCCGGTGGCAACGCGGCCGTGTCTACACAGGAGATGTGCCTTGGCTTTCTGCCCCGGTGTCTCGTTGTCCTTGACGCGTCGTCGAGAACAAAGCCCAACCGCACTCGCGCGTTATGCGTTATGATTGATTTAAAATATTTTTCTCTCGACTTTTGCAATGGGCCGTGACTCAGTGTCTAAAACAATGAATAATCTACTTTCAAGGAAATTGCTGATGGAACCGAGGCTTCATACCCACAAAAGTTTTAAATACATTTCTTGCCATGAAAATTATGCAAAAGAAATTTTGAAAATTTCATTATGAAATCGATGGAATTGATAACTGATGACTCACGTTTGATTCTGCACAATAATTGAATACATGAAGGTTACAGGAAAAGAAGGGGCTCATTGCAATTTTACGAAATTTTCCCTCTACGGATTATACAGAAAAAAATGCTTTCTAGCTAACGAAACTTGAAGAAGGGGCTGGTTAACCTTCACTCTCGCCATAATTTTGAACGTCTTGCCAAGACGGCAAAGTCTTAGAAAGTCGGCGAAATATAATTTTTTAAAAAAAAGTTCAATGATCATATTCATTTTTTCATCAGCACTAACAGTTACGTTACACTAACGTTAGTTTTTAATAGTTTCGAATTATACAATACCAGAAGGACTTCTAAACTCACACAGCACTTACCTCCTTAAATTTGACAAAAAACAAGCATTCCTTCTCACTCAACCTGCAGTGGTGACGTTCTGGCATTACGAACGAACGCCGATCGAACACTGTGCATTGTACGGCGCGAAAATGGTTCTATGTAAATTTCAAATGGATCTATCGACATTTTAACATCGGCGCCATACAGAGCGCTCACGTAGCTATTCAAGTAATCAACGCTCTTCGAATGCAGAGTAATTGTATTCATAGAATCGAGAAAATCATTTGCGGGGTGAGCAATTCCCGACGTCGATGGACGATAAATCGTTCCAGAATGGAGTGCGCTCCGGATGGCTGGCCAGCTCTCGCAGAACGACGGCCGTGACCTGAATTGACGTCACGTGATTGGGCACTAGGGTCTGGCAATGAGGAACTTACCGAAGTATTTCTACATAGAAATTTAAATGTGTCTTAGGTGGAGATAATAGCACTTGTTTTGTAGAATAATGTACGAGTACTAATCGTGAACTGCGTATTTTACTTAATAATAACAGTTCCAAATTGTGTTCGTGCAAAGCGAAGAGCGAGTAATACCGGTACGTTGGATGCGATATGAATTAACGAAACGTGATTTGAACTTGGATCAGAAAAAATGTAGGAAACACAGAGATTTTTCTTCAAAAAATTAAAAAGCGTTTTAGATGAAAAATGAAATATAATATGTTGTGTTAAGTACTTATAGATAGTTTTTTGATTCAAAGTAATGTTTGAAAAGTCAATACAGACGTTTTCATTAGTCCACGTGTAATAGAAATAAATGGTACATTTAAATCGTAAAATTCACAAAACAATTAATTTTGCACGTAAGAGCATATGATCAAATTCGTATTACATGAACACTAGTTACTAGCATTATTTAGAAGGGGAGAGTTGAGTAAACAGGGAAGTTTATATCGTTGAAATTTGTAAACGCCACAGAAAAAAAGTTTGTTTCATTCCGAAGTTCTATAAGCAAGTCTTAAATATACCATCCTTGGCTTTCATACGTAAAAATGGTTCATCTAAAATTACATCTCACTTATAGTTACTAAAATAGCATTTGCCTGCTTTCCCGATTTACGCAACTTTTCCCAACGAAATAAATCTACAATTTAGGGCTATTATCAATAAACAATAAAGTAGCTGAAATGCCTGGATAGAGAGATTTTGTAAAATTGAATATAATAAGTTTGAATAAGTATGAAAAAATGTTTTCGATGTTTGAAAATTTGTTTCACAACCTGAAATCGATGTTAAAAGTAATTTAGGATTTCATACGTATTTAATTCTCCCCTTTAAACGCGCAACGCTGTAGAATATTCTGGAGGCCAACGAGCAAAATACGTCGCTGGCAGTTGCATTGACGTTCCCAGCGGCCGGGCCGGGCCGGTCACATGCGTTTCTAAGCGTCGGCCGCGGGCGCCCCGCTGGAAGTCAAACCCTTTGGCGCCCAAGGTGCCCCGCGGGCGGCGAACTCCGTCACGCCTGTCGCGCCTGCACCACGCTCCGCCGCCTCCGCCACGGGCCGAGGTGGAAAAAGTCCGCGCGACGGGAGGGCGGGCGGTACGGAGAGGACGCGAGGCAAGCGGGACGTGGGAAAAAGATACGCGACGGAAGGGCGGACGGGCAGGGGGAGGACGCGAGGGGAGCGGGGACGTGGGGGAGGTGGAAAAAGGCTGGCGCGACGGAAGGGCGGACGGGCAGGGAGAGGACGCGAGGGAGCGGGGACGTGGAAAAAGGCTACGCGACGGAAGGGGGGACGGGCAGGGAGAGGGACGCGAGGGAGCGGGGAACGTGGGGGAGGTGGAAAAAAGGCTGCGCGACGGAAGGACGCACGCACTGGGAGACAACGCGAGGGAGCGGAAAACGGTGACATGAGGGAGGACGCGGGGAGTGTAGAATGGTGACATCATGGAGGGCCCGAGGGCACCGCTAGAGGTGAGAAAGCTGGCGCCATGGAAGGGCGGACGGCCAAGGAGTGAATACGGTGACATGAGTGAGGACGCCAGGGAGAGGAAATGGTGACGTCATAAAGTTCCTGAGGTAGAAGTAAAAAAGGAGGTGCCACGGAAGGGCGGACGGCCAACGGGAAGGCGTGAGCGAGTGGAGACGATCACATGGGAGAGAATGCGAGGAAGCGGGGACGGTGACATGGCAGCCCCAGGGCATCGCCACCAGTAGAATTAGAAAAGATGCTCTGGCGGGAGAGCAGACGGTAAGGGAGAGGGTGCGAGGGAGTGCAAAGGTGTAGGAACGGCATGGGAGAGTACGCAAGGACGCCTTCACGAGGTAAGGTGGAAATGGCAGTCAGCGCCGGGAAGAGGACGAGGGGGAGCGAGGGCTGGGATATGGGAGAGGAGAGGTGGAAGAAGGTGGCTCGACGGAAGCAAGGGCACCCAGGGAGTGGGCGTTAGATAGGGACGCTGATATGGGAGAGGACGCGAGTGCGTCGCCACCGGCAGAGGTGGACAAGACCACGTGACGGAAGGGAGGACGACTAGGCAGAGGGCGCGAGAGAGCAGGGACGGTGACGTAGAAGAGA